CAAGATTAAATGAGAAAGATGACCAGACTTATAATGAAACCCTTGTCAAATGTTGCCTGACTAATATGATAAAAAAAAAACTTTTTACACAACACCATATCAAATTCAGCTTCCTTTTTTTTCTTTCCCAGGACTGCCCTGCCAAAACTAGACCATCATCTCCTCTGTGGATGTCATACAAGCTGTGAGCACTGGTCTCTCCCTTTCTGCCGTTGTCTCCCCCAACCCAGACCCTCCATCCCCTGCTCCTTGGACCCCTTCCCGTCGTCCCACCACGTCTGCGGAGTGGGTGCCCGCTCCCTCCCCCAGGGGTGGGAGTGAGGAGCTGGGAGACGGACTAGAAAAAACCCTGGAGAATGATGCGGAGGGCGTGTGGAGCCCCGACATCGAGCAGAGCTTCCAGGAGGCCCTGGCCATCTACCCCCCCTGTGGCCGAAGGAAGATCATCCTCTCGGACGAGGGCAAGATGTACGGTACGCCCATCTCTATCCTCCTACCATCATGTTCCTTTCCTTCTCTAATGCCATGCAAAACATGATACTTCGTTCTGCTCAAAAGACATTTTAGGACTTAGACATTACTCTGGATATATTGGTGTTCTTGACATTGAGACTCGTCTCAGGACAGCAGTCACAACTTGAAATCTGCAAAACAATATTCATGAAGGATTCTCTGTATCAGATGTGGCTCAATAGACGAAACAACTCTCATTCGTCTGGAATGACAAGATCTTACACTGGATCAGTTTCAGCAATAGTGTTTTTTTTTTTTTATATATATATTTTTTTCAGTTATAAAATAAACAGATATTGCTCCAGATAACAGAAAAAACAACAAAACACGTAACAACAAACAACTAAACAAAACATAACGAGGGGGGGGGGGTGATTGTGACATACACAGCAATAGTGTTTTGATTAGTTGAAAAGGCCTGCACACACTGCAATCTATAATTGTGAAACATTGTGGTAAAATCCAGTTATTGCACCGACCAATGGAGGACTTGATTGAGAGCTTAAACTGACTGGCTCCATAAATAATAATGATAATAATAATAATGATAAAAGTGAAAGCTTAATTTCCAAAATGAAAGAAGCTATTGTAACTTTACTATCTACATTGCAACAGTTACTTTGATGTAACCTCCTCTGATGGTCTGCAGACAGAAGAGAGACCACAGTCATACTGTAGTAAGGGCTTGTTAATAAGGTGCAGCGAGGGTGCTAGGTGCACCTCATTAAAAAGCTCTCACTTTAACTGTGACCTCCAGGTCTCATCATTCGAGTGTTCGACAAATATTTCTCAAACTTGTGGCATTAACTCATTATCTCTTATACAATGTTTGCTTTGATAAACTTGATTTGCTTGAGGATAACACATTGGGCTAAAAAAACAATGATCATACTAAACAAGGGGGGAAATAACCACTCCTGCTACTTTTAAAGATGTGGATGATCAGTCAAGATTCTACTGAAATATTAATAAGCAGTTGATCAATATTATTATGGGGTAAGATGTGTTTTTCTGATAGACTTATGAGAAAACAAAGGTTTAGGCTGATAACTTAAACATATCTGCTGTGGTATGGGTATCACAGCACACACACGGAGCCATTCATCATCACCCCTGTGTTCATGCTTCACATTACTGCTGTTTCCTGCACAGCTGTCAGCTACACTTGGTCCCATAGTGGACTGTGGCATTATCTGAATCACACACTCTTAGCAGTCATTCTTATACACGTACGTGCACAATGTGCTTCTCATGCAGATTTCGGTCTCAGAAGCTGTGGTATCAAGCTGCGAAGGAAAACGATACACTGACATGTTCACAAAAAATGTCTTCAATTTAAAAAAGCAAGGCCGCATTTCTGTACATTCCCTGAAGATCTGCATTTAATTTGTATTGGTCTGTCGCCTCAACATACATTCTGGCAAGCCCGATGTCCCATTGTATTTCTGGCAGTGATAGTGGAGAGTGCTTTGCAGTATTCGTAAGACCAAAATTAGCCCACATCAAACATGTTCAGAGGAACGGGGTTAATTCTCAGTTCCCCGTTGTGATTGAATGGCTTGGATGCTAACTTTGTGTTGTTGCCTCAAGTAATCCGCCAGATATTTTGCTGGGATTTTCCACTCTAGCTAGGTATCAAACTGTAAATGCTGTTTGATGTTTGATTCTTTATTTGTGCCCTCCTTATTTATTTTTTTATTCCTTAAATAGTAATGGTTTGGAGTCTTAAAATAATTTAACTGCGGGTCGTTTCTTATTGAATCTTTGGGTAATGTCATTGTCAAACAGGTGTTGGGAAGGTAATGTGACATTCCTCCACAATATCTTGCTGAAAGATGTTTGGTAGCAGATGGCTCGTCTATCGTGTGTCTGACTGTTAGATAGTGGATCTGGTTGGTGGAAAACAGGCGGACAGAGGTAGTGATGCTGTCAGACAGCCTCTGTCATCACCTTGTTCTGTATCCATGCCAGACAGCTCCTTTAACTGTTGGCTTTGCCTTGCCTAGCTTAGCCACCTATTGAGGTCACGGCCATCCTCTGATCAACACTTAAACCCTTATAAAGCCTGTAATAATAGTTGGAGGGGGGCAGGTGGCTTATTCTGTGTAACAGGGAGCTGGATGTGTAAAAGATGGTGGTGGTTTTTTGGCAGAGCAGGCACTGAGGTGCCCCTTCTTCCCTGCGGGGGTCAGGGGCAGGTGATGCACGCCAGGGAGCGCGTTGGCCCGCCAGGAATGGCATGTGTGCTTGGGAGCCCGGGGGTTCAAGGCAGCTCGGCTGTAACCTTAAACCAGAATAGACGTTTACCCTTTGAGCGCCTGAAGGGGAGGAGGATGGGTGGACAAATAAACACCAAGGTGGGCAATGGTGTCTTGCATGGCCTCGGGCTCAGCAGAACTCTCACACCTGTCCCCAGTGTGTGTTTATGTGTGTTTCACTGCGAGAAAGGTGGAGGTTGTGTCTCTGCTATTTCTGTGATTTACCTCCCTCATATCTCTGTTTCAGACACCCTGTCTTTGTCCTTTATGAACACCCTTTTCTCCCTCCTGACAGTTGGTCTGTCTGCCTCTCAGTTCACACCCAGCTGCTCTTGGTTCAACCTGAAAGCCTTGCGGCAAACCCAGATTTATGACTTGATAAATGTGGCAACCATGTGACCGTGTTTGGCCCACTGTGCCCCGTCATCGGCCCGAAACAGCCACATCAGCCCATCTCCTACAGCCCCTGCAGCACCCCGTCCTCCGCTTTTATCACCATCCCTGGGGTCACAAGTGGCCAACAACTCAAGTCATTCAAGCAGCCACAATCAATGCAAAGCCACTCTAAAGGTCTTAAGTGTTAATGTTATTAAAGCGCTGATGGGAGGGGGGGGATCCTAAATCAGGTAGCCAAATCTAATATCAGCTGAGAATATCTTAAAAGCGAGAACTTGATGGTTTTAGAAATGCTATTTTGTTTTCATACATGGGTTGAATATGGACACATAGACACATAGACAAAACAAACTTCTAGCAGAATAACTGTTGGCCGAGAGCAACATACTGAGGATTTTAGTTTGAATTCCCCACTGAGGCATGAATGCCATTCTTTGCTAAACAATATGATATTGAGTCTCTGAGCAGCGAAACAGAGGGAATGTGTGCTTCTTTCCATTGTAAATTCCTCAATAGAATGGAATGTTTTTAGCCCATATTCCTTGTACATTCATCACATTTCTTTCCCATAATGCTGTGCATAGCACTGGCCCTCTCGCCCATTACTCAACAGACCTATTAGCTCGCTTATTAGGGACGGTGTCACGGATATTGTGGCGGTTATGTGCTCCAGCGGTAATTCGTCAAGCATCTGCCAAGGAAAACATGTCCTGCCTTGTTTGGCTCTCAGCGAGAGGCATGCCCTGTGGTCTGACCGAAGGCCTCATGCTGCAATAATGGAAAAAAAGTCCCAAACTTGTATTGCAGCGTTGTGCTGGCGGCTCTCACTAGAAGAATATGGCACTGATTATATTTCTTCTTTATTTACTGCCATGTAAATGAAACGTGAATTTATGTGCAGCTTTCGCAACTGTAATTGCTTAATTGTATGCTGTCTTTGAAGTAACTATCCATCTAGCAGCATTAAATCTTGCAAAACATCCTGTTTTATGCAGCCGTTTGGTTTCGTCACACTTCATGACATCTGTACACGGAGCTCTATTCTCACATTATGAAAAACATGTTAGTTCATTGGGCAAGTCAATGTTTCTCTCAGTGCTGAACTAAGAATACCTGCAATATGAATCATGTCCCCACTAAGCTTTGCTTGTGCAACATGTGAACCCATTGTCTTTTTTTATCAGGCGATGTAAATATGTTTTTGCTTCAAGTCATTCTCATTAAAAATGTGAAGTAAAGGTCAGCGGAAAGCAACAGCGAGTCCTCACCCGGGTACAAACTCTAGAAGTAAAGTGAGAGATTCACCAGTGGCCTTGACCTCCTGACCTTTTGAAGAAGCCTCTGGGGTGTGTGTTTCAAGTGGGTTTCCTCTGTAACCATGGCTCAGTTCTCTGCTTGAAGGAGTACACTTCTGCTCTATGTTTAGCTAATAATTGGCTTAACTAATGGCATTGATACAAACAGGTTATTGTATTATGTGTTTGTTGAAACGGTTCGAGATTCTTTAATGTCAACACCTCTATAACACAAAGCGAACATTCGTTTCATGAAGTTAGGATTTATTGCAGGACTTTTGTAATAGTTTGGTGTACCCAATAAACGTACATGCGAGTATACTGTATGTTCTGCATTGACTAGCTTAACTCCTAATCATAGCTCTGTGATGTTTAGAAATGATTAAAACCATGATTGTAGTGCTCCACTGTACCGTCAAATACCAATATTATTGATTTCTTGTTCATTTATTTATGCTTTCAAGGAAAACATTTTCCTATTATTAGAATGGCAGACGAGGGGCTAGTGTTCAGGGTGAGACGACACAGGCAGCAGGAGGATGAGCCTGTTCCTCCATTTAGTCGTGACGCCTGACTTTCCGTCTCTCTTAAGATCCGATGCTCTCGGAGGGTTGTCGAGGAAACCTCCTGCTGATGATGTACGTATGTACTTGTCTTCTCTGTATCGCCCAGTGTAACCAATACGACTTGGTGAGCAGTGACAGCTGTCCGTGTCAGTTTATGTAGACATCTCAGATAAGCCAGGTGAAAGGTAGAAGTGTCCAAACAGCTCGGACATCTGTTGATCTGTCTATGCTGTTAACATACTGTATGTTGAGTATCAGAGCAAATTACCTCTGCATAAATCTCTGTAATTTCAAATACACTCGTGGCAGGTTATGTTAATTTAACATGACATCTGTTAAATGTACTCCTCTGCAAGAAATACTATACTTGGTTAGAAATCAAGAGGAAACTTCAGATTTGGCTGGGACAGTAGCGCCACTGATGAGTGAAAGACTCTGATTATCT